AAGTAATTTTGTGTGGAAGTCAAACATTTGTTTTACGTTGGAGGCAGACACATTGCATATGCTCAGAAAAATAGAGCAAAAAAAAATCTAGCCCTTTATAATATAATATGCCATTTAGCAGACGCTTTTGTCCAAAGCGACTTACAGTCATGCGTGCATATATTTTTTACGCATGGGTGGTCCCGAGGATCGAACCCACTACCCTGGCGTTACAAGCGCTGTGCTCTACCAATTGAGCTACATAGGAACACATTGGGTTTTGTGTCTTTACACAGCCCTTCTCCCCTTGTCTATAGGAGGGACGCACGCTGTTTAAATGGCCCAAATGTTGATTTAGAAGTTTACAAACTTAACAGATTTTGACTATCACTAATGTCATGATATCTTTGGTAAAGTAATAAAGAAGGTGAAATGTTTGGTAGATGTTCCTAAAACAGATTATAACTATATATAGACATATTATAAAGTAAGAAAAGGCTTATTCATTCACAATTTTATATCATACCATCATATTTGTATATGTTTTATTATAGTTTTATTGTGTAGTAGATCATTTGGGTTGATTTTTTTTTTCTTTTTCTCAGACATAAATAAACAATTATTGGTGAAGCCAAAGGTCATAGCTTTCTGAGGAGTAGAAAATCCTACTACATTAATAAAATATTGCCCTCTTGCTAGATAGATGACAAATAAAAACATAGCGAAACAGTGCAAAACGGCTGTCAGCTTAACTGGTTTTAAAAGCAAAGAAACATGGAGAAATGTTTATTTTTATTGCATTCGAAAAAAGAAACTATAGCACACCGGTAATCTTGATGCTTCCAACATTTCAATGGATCTATTTACCAGTGTCTCAAAACAACGTTGGTAAATAGATCCATAACATTTATGAAAGCACCAATATTCCCTGTGTGCTGGAGTTTTTTAAAATTATTTTTAATAAGTATGTTTGCTCCATACGCCTGGTAGCATGTTCGGCTGTGTGAGTTTACTTGTTCATATTTTCATTGCACTGCAATGTCATCACTATAACACCGATATTAATTGCTAACAGAAACCTTATAGAAAATTAACTGCTTGTGAAAAATAATGAAGAAAATACAAGAAATAACTGACTTAAATCAATACATAGTGACATACAATAGACATCAATATAAACATTTACAAAAAGAAAAGAAAAACAGATTATGTTATTACTGCAGTATCTCTTATCACTGAAATGACTCAAAGCAGTTTGAACTTAGCATTAGGTAATACATAGGTTCACAATCTATTAAAAATACAAAATCAACACAGAAACATGAAAGTATTTTTTAGCTTTTAGAGAAAAGCCAGTGATGATAACAAAGATGTATTGTATCATAAAAGCTCCAGAAAAGTGCAAGTCATAAACAGTATTTATCAGTGCTAAAGATCAATCACTTGGCTATGTCATTCCAGGAACTTGCAGATCGTAGAACAGGATGATTTGGAATATAGAATACACACTGTTATTGTGGGATAACACTGTCACCTGTAAACGTCCTTTGTTGGCACTGATGCCCACACATGTTGGAGCAGGGTTGAATGTGTAGGACCATGTACCATGGTCACGGATGGTGTCTGTGTGTGTGTCAGTGGAGGCTGGTGGGAGGAGCTATAGGAAGACAGGCTCATTGTGAAGTCTGGAATGGAATTAATGGAACGGAGTCAAACATGTGGTTTCCATATGTTTGATATGGTTCCATTTATTCCTTTCCAGCCATTACAATCCTCTTATAGCTCCTCCCACCAGCCTCCTCTGGTGTGTGTGTGCGCATGCATGCGTGTGTGTGTAGTACCATGGTAATGGCGTGTGTATATAATGAGTGTACAAAACATTAAGAACACCTTCCTAATATTGAGTTGAAACCCCCCCCCCCCCCCCCCCCCCCCCCCCCTTTTTTGCCCTCAGAACCTTAATTCGTCGGGGCATGGACTCTACAAGGTGTCAAAAGCGTTTCACAGGGATGCTGGCCCATGTTGACTCCAATGCTTCCCACCGTTGTCAAGTTGGCTGGATGTCCTTTGGGTGGTGGACCATTCTTGATACACACGGGAAACTGTTGAGCATGAAAAACCCAGCAGCGTTGCAGCTCTTGACACAAACCGGTGCGCCTGGCACCTACTACCATACTCCGTTCAAAGGCACTTAAATCTTTTGTCTTGCCATCTGAATGGCACATCTACACAATCCATGTCTCAACACTCAATATAAATATATATATATATATATATATATATATATATATATATATATATATATATATATATATATATATATATATATATATATATATATATATATATATGTGTGTGTGTGTGTGTGTGTGTGTGTGTGTCTGTCTTCTACAGTAGGGGTATGCGTGAGGGCTCCCAGAGTTTGCGTGCTAGTTGACTACAGTGCTGTAGTATGTACTCTGTAGGGATGACTCCTAGATGGACCGTCAGCAGCTCATAACACTTCACCACCTCCCCCTGGTGGCTCTTACTGTAGTAGCGCAACAGCTTCCTGTGGAGGGGAACAGGAGTACACACACACACTCCTGTAATACAGCCATAAATACTAGATAATACATTATACACACACACACACACATACACACACACAACCTCTTCCTCCTCACCTGTAGTAGTCCCAGGCCAGCATTCCGATGGGGGCGGAGTCATCGGGTAGGATTGGGAGGTCCTTTACTTCCAGCTTGTAGCCCTGATTGGTCAGGTGACAGAGGTCAAGGGTCATACAAACACAATGACGTTCCAGAACATTCCAATGGCAAAATCTGTCTTGGTGTACCCAACATCGAGGTAATTTACCGTTTCGTTTTCGAACCAGAGGAAGTAGCAGAAGAAGTAGTCTCCATCTCTCAGAGTGACAGTGGAATAACCCTTCTGTAGGTAAAGCCTCGATGTATTAACCAGGCCCCATACCTACAGAGAGAGAGAGAATAAAAAAGGGAGAAAGAGAGATACAGACAGAGAGAGAGAGCGATACAGACAGAGAGAGAGAGAGATACAGACAGATAGAGAGAGAGAATACAGACAGAGAGTGAGAGAGAGATACAGACAGAGAGCGAGAAATAGAGAGAGACAGACAGAGAGAGATACAGACAGAGAGAGAGAAACAGACACACAGAGAGAGAGAGAGATACAGACAGATATACAGACGACAGGAGAGAAGAGAGAGAGAGACAGAGAGAGAGAGATCAGACACAGAGAGAGAACTCGAGAGAGAAGAAGAAACAGACCAGAGAGAGAACGAGAGAGAGACAGAGATAAGAAGAACAAGAGAGAGAGATACAGACAAGGAGAGAGAGATACGAGACAGAAGAGAGAGATACGACAGAGAGAAGCAGGCAAGGAGAGAACGAGAGAGAGAGAGAGAGATACAGAGAGAGAGAGATACAGACAGATACGAGAACGACAAGAGAGAGATACAGACAGAGAGATACAGAAGAGAGAGAGAGAAACAGACACAGAGAGAGAAGGAGATACAGAACGAGAGAGAGAGAGGAAAGACAGAGAGAGGAGAGATACAGAAGAGATAGAGAGAGATACAAGAGAGGAGATATACAGACACATAAGAGAGAGAGGAGAAAGACAGAGAGAGAGAGATAACAGGACAGAGACGAGAGAGAGATACAGACAAGAGAGAATACAAGAAAGAGAGAGATAACGAAGGAGAGAACAGCAGAGATGAAGACAGAGAGAGGAGAGATACAGAGAGAGAGAGAGGAGAGAAGAAGATACAGACAGAGGATACAGACAGAGAGAGAGAGATACAGACAGAAGAGAAACAGAGAGAGAGAGAGATACAGACAGAGAGAGAAGAAAGACAAGAGAGAGAGAGAGATACAGACAGAGAGAGAGGAGATACAGACAGAGAGTAACAGACATAGAGAGAGAGAGAGAGAACAGAGAAGAGAGACGAGAGAAGAGAGAAAGAAGAGAGAGAGATGAGAGAGAAGATACACAGAGAGAGAGGAGAGATAAAGACACAAGAGAGAGACAGACAGAGAGAGAGATACAAAGAGATATACAGAAGAGAGAGAGATACCAGAGACAGAGAGAGAGAGATGAAAGAGACAGAGAGGAGAGATACAGACACAGAGGAGTACAGACAAAGAGAGAGATACAGATACAGACAGAGAGAGAATACAGACAGAAGAGAGAGAATCAGACAGAGAGAAGGGAGAAACAGACACAGGAGAGATGACAGAGATGACAGACAGAGAGAGAGAGATACAGACAGCACAAGAGATATACAGAGAGAGAAGCAGATACAGAGGAGATACAGAAGAGATAAGAATAGAGAGATACAGACACGAGAGAGAGAGATACAACACAGAGAAGGAGAGAGATACAGAGAGAAGGATGACAGGAGATACCAGACAGAAGAGAGAGATACCACAGAGAGAGAGATACAGACAGACAGAGTATAGAGAGAGTACAGACAGAGAGAGAGAGATACAACAAGAGAGAGTACAGACAGAGAGAGAGATACAGACAAGAGAGAGAGAGATACAGACAGAGAGAGAGAGAGAGAGATACAGAGAGAGAGAGAGATACAGACAGAGAGAGAGAGATACACAGAGAGAGAGAGAGATAGAGATACAGACAGAGAGAGATACCTACAAGAGAGATACAGACAGAGAGAGAGAGACACAGACAGAGAGAGAGGATACAGAAGAGAGAGAGGAGAGATACAGACAGGAGGAATGAAGAGAGAGAGAGAGAGATACAGACAGAGAGAGAGATACAGACAGAGAGAGAGAGATACAGACAGAGAGAGAGACCGAGAGAGAGGAATCATCCAGTGATAATAATTTACTAAAAAGATCAAACCAGCTTTACATTTACAAAGGCAACTTTTGATTTCCCATATGCATTGAAGAGCCTACTTTAGTTTATTATAATCCCAAACTAGTGGATAACTGTCAGACAACCCTCTAGACCCAGTGTAGATGGTACAGGCTAACCTTGCCCTTTATGAAGTGAGCCAGTGGCCCCTTTCCTAGCTCAGAGGTCGTGCGGTCCGTGATGTTGAGAGATGGAGCGATCATCTGACCAGCGGTGCGGTCAACATAGATGAAATGGATCAGTCCTGGGAACTCCTCAAGGTACGTAATAACCGCTGTGTTAAGATCAATACACCTCACAACACAGAGACACAGTACAACACAGAGCCTAATACCACAACACTACAGTAACTTATCTGGGTATGTAACATCATCTGGATTAAATACACTTGACAATATCTTGTCTAGAGATATCTGTCCAACATGGTCAAACTACTGTACAGCACCAGCATTTGGTTTGATTTTTAATAGCTGCATGAGGACATTCTACCCCTGCAGTGACATACAGTAGAAATTACATATAAGATATGACACCATAAATAAATAAAAACTGTGTGACACACCAGGGCACAACATACCCCATGAATAGCTATCAGCTCCTATCGCTCTCAACATGCTATGGAAATGACAAAAACATGGGGGTCTACTCTGAAACCACTGGAGATTTAGACAGAAAATTGGATTTTCTACAGTCATGAAGCTATTGCTCCCGGTAAGTCAAGATCAGGGGTGGCCAACCCTCTTGGAGAGCAACTGGGTGTGCAGGCTTTTGGTCCAACTTTACCTCTTCTAAAGACTTTGCATAGGCTACCCCTTCACTTTAACACACCAACCCTACATCTAGCCTCATAATATTAGGAGCACAAAAAACAGGAATAGGGTGCCATTTGAGATTTCTAGGCAGGATATGACACCATAGTGATGTTCCTCTTACTCTTCACCAACAGGAAGTCTTTCCAGTCCATCAACTTCTCCCTGGTGGGGGGGGGGGGGGGGGGGGGGGAATAGAGGAAGGACAAGAGGAGGGAGAGAGAGTAGAGAGGATAAGAATAGTATCTTCATCCGAACAGGGTAAAGCCTTTTTATCGGAATCCATGAGATACTATAGATTAAGTCCTTGATATCCTGAGCTCTGTCCTACAGGCCTTTACACAATACATACAGTGCTGGTTGGTTGTTATTGAGAGAAATACTGTTAGCTAGTCCAGGGCCTCATACGTACTGCACCATGGTGAGAGCTCTGTCCTGTAGACTGGGTGATAGACGTTGTGGACTCCCTCCTCCAACTGTGTTCTCTGTGATGAAACACTGTCTGTAGACTCCACACAGCTGGCTCTTCATAGTATGACACCAGGGGACCAGGCTAGGGAGAGAGCGAGACAGATACAGAGACGGATACAGAGACAGTATGATGAAACACTGTCTGTAGACTCACACATCTGACTCTCCAACTACCACACCAGGGGACCGAGCTAGGGACAGAGTTCAGAGCTAACTTAAAATGACACACATCTTCCCAAATGCCCCCATTGCAAATCAAATCAAAGTTTATTGGTCACGTGCACAGATTTGCAGATGTTATCGCAAGAGCAGCAAAATGCTTGTATTTCTAGCTCCAACAATGCAATAAAAATACATAAAAATACACACATAATCCAGAATTTTGTTTGTATAATAAAACAATTAAGGAAAAGCAATGTCAGAGACCGGAACATATATATCCTGTATCTAATCCTACAGTAGAACATAGGGAGCAGGGGCTAGGGGTCAACATGGGAATTGGGCCATAGAGAGCAGGTGGCAGTAGACAAGACACTCACTCCCTGCTGAAGCCAGGTCCTCCTCTGGTGAATGCCCGGCTCTTAAACTCTGTCCACACACTCTGTAGCTGGGACGTCTGAGAGAGAAGAGACCGACAGACATGTTATAAATACTTTAGCAATGTTTTTATGTAATTTTTGGGCGACCCGATCATAGAATTGTGTGTTATAGATCTGTCATTCACATTGAAAGCAAGTCTAAGAAGCAGTAGATCTGTTCTATGTGCCCTATTTCTATGCTTCCCGTTCTTAAGTTTAGTTTTTGTAACTTTTACTTTCGGTTTTGTACACCAGCTTCAAACAGCTGAAAATACAATATTTTTGGTTATGGAAAATATATTTCACAGCGGTTTAGATGGTACAATGATTCTCTACACTATACTTGCTTATCTTGTCACATAAACTGAAATTAGGTGAACTATTAGAATTTTAGCAACCAGGAAATGGCGGAACATCTTTTATGTTTTAAACCTGTCACTGGGAGCATATAAAATGCTTTTCAATGACAAGAAGCTTCCATATACAGCTAATACTGTATACATTACACACACCTGTATGTCTGAGGTTCCCAATGCTCTAATGAACTTGTCCAGTTTGTTGCGGAGGTCCTGTATGGACGTCTGGCCGCGGGCCGCTGACCCCTCCAGACCTTCACTCAGACGCTTCTCTAACTTAGCAAATGCCTCCAGGAACACATAGACTGACATGGCCAGGTTACTGTTAGGTATCTAGAGAGAGAGGAGAGAGAGAGAGAGAGAGAAAGAGAGAGAGAGAGGTGCAAAACAGGGTTGGGGTCAATTCAGTTTGATCTCATAGTGACACATTACTGCCCTCTTCTGGCTACATCTATAATAACATCCCATGTTGTGAGATCTGTGCAGTGTTTGTAATGATTTGTTTACCCTTTCTCTTTGAATGTGTGTGTGTGTGTGTGTGTGACATCCCCTGTAGCTCAGTTGGTACAGCATGGCGCTTGCAACGCCAGGGTTGTGGGTTCGTTTCCCACGGGGGGCCAGTATGAAAATGTATGCTCTCACTAACTGTAAGTCGCTCTGAATAAGAGCGTCTGCTAAATGACTAAAATGTAAATGTAAAATGTGTGTGTGTGTGTATCTGTGTATATATGCGTGTGTGTGGGTGTGTGTATACAGACCTTAGTGAGCAGTACCAGAGTGATGCCAGGCCAGAGTGGCAGACAGTACATGGAGTGAGGCATCATGGGATAGCAGCCCTCCTTCAGCGTGACCTCCAGGAAGACTCTGCTAGGGGTCGAGGGGTCAGGGGGAGGAGCTTCCAGGGTCCGGAGACTGTCCTCCGCCATCTGAAGACAGAATGGAATTTACATTAATTTCATTTCATGAGAAGTTACACTGTATAGATTCTAAAGAACATGCAAATCCAATGGCTCAAAAATAAATGACCCTACAAGGTCTGTCTAATGTACATTTACATTTACATTTAAGTCATTTAGCAGACGCTCTTATCCAGAGCGACTTACAGGAGCAATTAGGGTTAAGTGCCTTGCTCAAGGGCACATTTACGTCATTTAGCAGACGCTCTAGTCCAGAGCGACTCACAAATTGATGCATTCACCCTATAGCCAGTGGGATAACCACTTTACAATTTTTTTGGGGGGGGGGGGGGGGAGAAGGATTACTTTATCCTATCCCAGGTATTCCTTAAAGAGGTGGGGTTTCAAATGTCTCCGGAAGGTGGTGAGCGACTCCGCTGTGTGTGTGTGTGTGTGTGGGGGGGGGGGGGGGTAGAAGGATTACTTATCCTATCCCAGGTATTCCTTAAAGAGGTTGGGGTTTCAAATGTCTCCGGAAAGGTGGTGAGTGACCTCCGCTGTGGGGGGTGGGGGGGGGGGGGGGGGGGGGGGGGTGAAATGCATGATTTACGAGAAAGTCTAAGGTACATGCATTTTTCTAGTTAGGATCCAGCCCTTTTTGATGCACCAATACCGTGTTGCCATTTTGTTCTAGTGGCCTGGCCCTATACTACAAATCTGGTTTGAGGAGCATACCGCGCATGCTCTGAGTACACGTCCTGGTAATCCGTCTGGCCCCCGCGGCCTTGTGAGTGTTGACCTGTTTAAATGCCAAAATGCATTTGAAATTTCACGCATGGTAAAACTTCTGTATGACTTAAAGTAACACAACAGCTAAAAGACGATGCCCAGAGCTTACCCACGATGTTGCACAACGATTTAAGTTAATTAGTCATAGTTTTAGTCAAAGTATTATACATTTGGGCTTGAAGTGGGAAATCCGAAGTGGGAACTTCATGGAAATCCATGTCATTGCTGTGCGTTTCCCCAATGAGATGACGTGCAAATACTTTACAGAATACGTTTATTTTCAGGGCTGGGTTTTATTTTAATGTTACCACCCACCAGTATGGCATTGTTTATTAATCAGAAACCCCTGCAAAGTTCTTCTTCACGAGTCGTGACTGTGCTGAGCCAAACAGCCTTTCAACGTCCACTTGGGCACCGGAGCCATGGAGCAAATACAAATAAGGTTTTAAATAGATAAACGTATGTTTATGCACCTCATAATCCAATGGATAATTAGTTAATTTTCACTTATTTTTTAGCTAGTCTGTATAAAAAATATGACAATTTTATAATTTATATAATTGCATGATATGGTTACATTTTGCAACCCTGCGCCCCCCATCGCCCCAAGCTGAATGGTTTTGACCACTTAAGTTTGGATTCGCTACACGCGTCACTGCTTTGATTGGTGCAGCTAGAAAGCACTATTTCACAACAAATGTCTATCCTATAATGAAAATGCACCCGCGAGGAACTTGTTTATCTATTTTGTTGTGCTGTTACATTTGTATTGGTGTTTCATCCGATGCGGTCAGGGTGTTGTTACATATCATTTGCACGATCAACATCCACCTTCATAACATGGATGAAGCCAGAGCTGGAATGTTAATCTAACTGAAGCTGGCTAGCTTTAGAAAACCCTGAGTAGATCTAGCTTGCGTTATAGCTCACCTGAATGTCTGGATCCAAAAACTCAAACACAGGAGTACCGCTCTCCATAATACTGCTTCCTTCATGCCTGCTCTCCTCATACCTGCCTGCAAAGAGATCGAGCAGAGAGTTAGAGTTGAACCAAAGGCAGTGGAAGCATAGCGTATCACTGCACCGAGCCACATAGGCAAAAATGACAAAGCAGGACACAGACACCTACCTGAATTAACGGAGTCCCTGTCAGTCCCTGAGTCCTTATTAGTAGGGGAAGGCTCTGGAGTGTAGAATATATCAGGAGCTGAGGTGTTCTCCACATCCTACACACACACCACATTGCTATTAAACTTCAGAAGCATTCAGACACAGTAGAATATTCTTCTTCTTTCACTCTCAGTGCTCCTACCTCGGGGGCAGTATCCTCCAGGTCAATGTTGCTAGGATACATGTTCTGCACCATGACGATAAGAGCCAGTAGGTCAGACGAGGTGAGGGTACTGGCATTACGACTGTGGGGGAGAGGGGAGGGGTGGATATAAAGGTATTCAGAGCAGGGTTGGGGTCAATTCAAATTCACTCAAGTCACTCAATTCAGGAAGAGATTTGAATTTCAAATAAAAAAAATGGAAAACTTTTGAAATAGCTCCTCCTTTTCAGTTTATTGAGAAAGCATTGAAAAGTAATGCAATTTTTCTATAATTTAATTGGAATTTCAGTTTATTTCCTGAGTTGACTGAATTCAATTTGAATTGACCCCAACCCTGATTCAGAGGAACCTCCCTCTATACATGATTTGTCTGGATGTGCAATGGCATATTATGTGAAAATGCCTTTTATTATGTGAAAAGGGGAAGTTACAGTGGCCCGTGTACCTGAGTAGAAGGCTAGTAGTTTGGTGTTAATAGTAATGGACAGTAACCTGGAATAGAAGGCTAGTAGTTTGGTGTTAATAGTAATGGACAGTAACCTGGAATAGAAGGCTAGTAGTTTTGTGTTAATAGTAATGGACAGTAACCTGGAATAGAAGGCTACTAGTTTGGTGTTAATAGTAATGGACAGTAACCTGGAATAGAAGGCTAGTAGTTTGGTGTGCACCAGTATGAATGCATGGAGGACCTCCTCTCCTGCTCTCTCCACACTACTGTTGATCTGCTGCACCAAGCGACGCTCCAGAAACTCTATACACTGTTCACATAGAGTAGGATGGATCAACCTCTCTACTGCCTGATGGATGGGGGAAGGGAGACAGAGACATACGTTGTGTATATGTTGTTGTGTAGGTCAAAACTACATTTCCCCATTGGGGAGAAGAGTGATTACAGTATGCAGTACACTATACTCCACATTCTACAGTACCTCCACTAAAAAGCTCTGGTCCTGCTCGCGGAGCCGGCTGTAGGTCTCCAGGAGGCTCTGTAGATGTTTCCACAGCCTGGTCCTCTGCTCTGTGTCTTGAGGACGCAGCCTGGAGAGAAACCACAAAGCCCATTAGGATACAAGTCCATCTGTCACACACAAACACAGTTCTAATGAACTTCATAAGGTAAGATTCATGTCATACTCTTTCCTGATCAGGGTGCTGCTGAGGGTAACCATGCCAAAGAGGACCTCAATCATCTTCTTCATCACGTAAATCTTCCTCTTCAGATCCTCCTCGCCCTCTTCTCGGTCTCCGTTCACAGCGATGTACAGACACTCCTCAAACTGTCAATCAACATCTCAATCAGTCAATATGTCCATCAATCAAATAATCAATCACTCAATCACTCCTAATCAGTTCCCATTCACACACAGCGATGTACAGACACTACTACATGTCCCAAGCCCTTTCTTAACAGAACTGAGAGGCTTGGATAGGTGTAAGGAATATGGGGGACGCTCCTCTTAGTCTGTTGGAAGACACATCACAACTATCTGGTCCTTTCAGATCCGTGAACACTGGAAGGAGTAGGGGCTAGGAGCAGAAAAGGTACCAAGCCATTCGGTCTGAATGGAACTACTGTTGGCCAGTGGCCACGTCATCTTAACCCATTTACAGAGCCACACAGTCTGATCCCATGACTACTACGAGGTTCAGGCAGGCTCACATGATCAGAAAATGTACTGAACAGCAGGCTTTCACTTTTACTACAGTACAGTAGAGGAACTGTAATTGAGTGGCTTATGAGGTCAAATGAGTTGTAGGGGAGAGTGGGGTAAGTTTAGCCCTTTTTAACATTCAGCATCCCTCTGTCAAGGGAAATATAGTATTCTTTCTAACAAAGATACTGTAGCTACATATATTCCAGGATGTTGTGTATCCCTGGAAATAATCAGAATTCACGTAAAAATTACAGTTTGGAAAACATAGCTTGTCCCCCCAAAAAAGTGGTCTCTTGGCACAACTTACCATGAGTATGAGGTAAATTGAGTTGCGGTACAGGGTAAGTTAAGCCGCCTACAAATGTCTGTACTGAATGAAATATTACCACTACCTTTTTAAAACCATGTCTATCTTTATTTCCCAAACACAATTCAACACAATCACTTTTTTGTATTTAAATAATTTTAAGCATATTTTAACAAACACTTTGTACTTTTTTTAAACACTTTTAACATAGGCCCTGTTGTTACCTCATATCTCAGCGATAATGCCTTGCATTACGCCTGGGAAGAAAACACTTCAATTTGCTCAACTTGCCATTGGCTCAACCATAGGCTCAGCTTACCCCAAGGCAAACATTTTGACTATATAAACCCAAACAGCTACAAGGATGCACTTTCATGCTAGGTTTAGGACCTCATATTGAAGCTTATAGAGACACCAACTGATGTATAGAACAATCTTTAAATTATGTACTTTGGTTTAGATACAAGCATCATCAAACCTCTAACACAAATTAATTTGTACTTGGTGAAAATCCGTTTTTTGGACGCAACTTGCTTACCACTTTTTCCATGTGGCTTCTTCCTATACAGACTCCATGAAATGATAACCTCTTCCTAAATATATGGTCAATTGATACATTTTGTGTATGGTTTCCTAGAAACAAGGTTGGCTCAACTTTCGCCTTTGGCTCAACTTACCCCACTATCCGCAATACTTATTTTATGACCATTCTTTACTATGGGCATAGTTCTCTCACAAATTGCCCTGTATCTTTTGAAGTGTTTATGTGTCATGATGCAACATTCGTTTCCTGTGTGTGTGTGTGTGTGTGTGTTTGTGTGTATGTGTGTGTGTGTGTATTACCTGATGTAGCACATAGGTGTGGTTGTTCTCAGTACTAAAGGATGTATAGCTGTCTCCCAGTCTGTCCACCATGGTACTGCAGGAGATGATGATGGGGGCAAACAGAGTGTTGATGCTGTCCTCAAATGCTGGTGGCTGGAAGGGACGGAAAGAGACACTCAAACATATCCTCCATCTGAAGCTCTCCTCATAACCTCAATTCTCTGCTCTGGAATGACCATGAGGGATTATGTAACTACATGAACCAGCCAGCATGTCTAAAACCACTGCTGGACATACCAGAGAGTTCAGCAAATCACAGAAACGTCATATGAATGAGGTCACAGGGGATATTTGGGTCAATCCATAAATGCAATATGCTATCATTGCTTCTACGTTTATTTAATAGACCATCCTGTATCCCTCGCCCACTCCCATCTTACCTTCTCCCCCTCTTCCTGTGACGCTCCATACTGCTCCTGGATGTTGAGTTCAAACTCTGGGTCGGTCCAATAGAAGAGGACCTCAGCGCTCTCGCTGGCTATCAGCAGACACTTCATAGCAGGATCTTATCTGTAGCAACCAAGCATACCAGCACAGTTGTCATCTGCAGAATTTGCAGGGTACAGAGTCTGTTACAGTTTGAAACATACGTTGCAATACACACAGCCCTTAAATAGGCTAAGCAAATAATTCATAAGAAGTTAATTTCCTGCCATATTACAGGAAACCATGGAATAACATTACACTGCACTAGGATAGTAATTAGCCTACATGCAACGATATATTTATAATATACTTACCACATTTGTGATTAATCATTTGTATTATCTTGGAAAACAGAATAACAGTGTTGGTGTAACTGGCTCTACTTACATAGCTGGTATGAGGGAATAACAAATTATTCTCATATCAACAATGTATGTGCAGTACATGAAAAGGACAAACCACTTCCAATTTTCTACTGGTCGCATAATCTAATTCATTATCTGATAAATGCATTGGTAGAGTGGTCATATGATGAAGAGCATAAGAAATACGAAGAGCACTAAGCCTAACTATCATGCAGCACGAGTCAAAGATCCACACTATGCGGATTGTCTTCAGTGATCACCGATGCATGACTGACAGATCGGACCTCACACCAACACAACTTCCCAGGGGTAGCGCTATGTAGGCTATAGCGTTTACCCATATTGGACTTCTAAGTTTGCCTTCTAACGCTCATACAAAAACATTATAAAGATGTCAAAGACAGTTACATTAGCTTATTCTATAGGCCTATTCAACATGACAAATATATGTTTTACACAATTCATTTCTATTTGGATATTCTTGCACCCATCAGTAGTCTATAATAAGAACATATGTTACACAAAGTAACTTACCTGTGGCCTATCAGTTCTGCATCATATTTACCCCTCCGTGATTTCCACCAGTTTAATCAGATGTTGTTAAAATGTATCTCTTCGTTCCAACCCTTAGCTTTCCAGTTATGAAGGATCATATTTCGAAACTCTACTGGAACATTTTTTCAACTCAGCTACTGCTTCAACTCGCTTCCGTGGTGAAACTTGGAGCCGAATCATGTGACACCAACAACAATTTAACAGCGGAAGCTTGGCTCCTCCAGTGGACTCGAAATTAAACGCAGGTCTATGATCAGTTTGCCCTCCCCATGCGTTCTCTTAGAAACAGTGAATGTAAAAGTAGAACTGACTGTAGATCAGTGTTTTGTTTTGACGTAGGTTCCCAGACGGTGAAAGGGTAATCCTTTGGGGGTAGTTAATTAGGTGAGTTAAAGTAATGTGCAGAAGACTAGAGTGAAGCACATGATTCTGACACAGTTTTAGTGATCTGGTATTCCTGGAATGCATTATGGTGTTGCGTGTCTTAATTTTATTTTTTAGCCTTTATTTAACTAGGCAAGTCAGTTAAGAACAAATTCTTATTTACAATGACAGCTTAACCCGGCCAAACCCTTACCCGAACGACGCTGGGCCAATTGTGTGCAGCCCTATGGGACTCCCAAACACGGCTGGTTGTGATACAGCCTGGAATCAAACCATGGTCTGTAGTGACGCCTCTAGCACAGAGATGCAGTGCGCTGCACCACTTGGGAGCAGAATAATATATTGAGCAGAATCATTTAGTTTCATTGTCAAGACAGGCACATCATTATTATAAGAAAGGATGTTCAGAGTTATACAAATGTAACCCTGATTATGCAGCTATCTTTGAGGAAAGTCAAAAGAAACACACACATACACAAATGGGGGCTGTGGGGAATTTTGGAATGTTCCTTTTTCCTTAGAAAAGGTTCTTAAAAGGATATAAATTAATGGGCAGAACAAGAATACTCTGAATAGTCTGAGTTGGGCTTCTGGCAGACCATTCATGTGTCTGGGTCTACCAACCAATCTGTACCATCAGTTTCCAGCGGCTGGACATTCATGGAAGTCTTTTTTAAGCTGACACAGAATAAACATAGCAAAGTGGCCTGCAGAAAGCCTTGCATGTTTCAAAATGGATCACAGAGTATAAACAGTGTGTATGTGTGTGTGTGCGTGCGTGCACACGCATATTTGTGTGTGTGTTTCAAAATGGATCACAGAGTATAAACAGAGTTAGCCAGGGTATGGTTACAGCTACCTCTGCTAAAGAGTCTCTGTCACGCAAAGGTATCCAGAACAACGGTGTAGTGTACTAAACTGCGCCA